GTTAATCCCTCCCCAGGCCCAGCTGAAGACCGCGGCCCTGACCCAGTTCGGCTCCGGCTGGGCGTGGCTGGTGGCCGACAAGAGCGGCAAGCTGAGCATCGAGAAGACCCCCAACGCGGTGACCCCCGTCGTGGAGGGCAAGAGCCCCATCCTCACCGTCGACGTCTGGGAGTGAGCGCCGCGGGGCCGAACCCGGGGAGTGGGGGCAGACGGATCTGTGTGGCTGGTGGCTGATCAGGACGCGCACCGCAGCCCTGGCTGGCACCCATGCTTGCCGGCCTATGCCTGTGTGCTGCCTTGCACGCATGTGCACCTGTGTCTGGTCATCGCACCCGTCACAGCCCACCCCAGTGTGATGCGACCTGAAAGTTAAGCACTAATCAATCAATTTCAAGCAACCTGACGCCACCGCAACCACACCCCCACCCTCCCGTGGTACCCCCAAGGCACGCCTACTACATCGACTTCCAGAACAGGCGGCCCGACTACTTCGACACCGTCGTCAGCAAGTGAGCCTCCTCCCACCCCAACCCCTGCACAACACTGACCCCATCTGATGATGTCGTAGTGTGCCGAATCCGTGCATGCGGATACAGTGCCCCGGGCACGCCCACGAGTCGGCGGCGTCATGTTTGCTGATGCCTCGCCCCTTTGTCACCCCCCCCACCCCCCGTCCCTCCAAATCCCTCCCCCAACGCAGCCTGGTGGACTGGGACGCCGTCTCCAAGCGCTTCGCCGACGCCACTGCCTAGACTCGCTTGATGGACCACCCCTGGCCTGCCTGCTGATCAAGGCTTGCCGACAACCCTTTTGCTTAAGGGACACCACACTGCACCGAACTCCATAGCCCCCGGCATCACGCGCATGCTGTCGCACAGCCAACAGTTGCGGTTGGCACAAGCCCTATTGGTTTGAGTGTAATGCTGCTGCTTGAAAGATTTCTGAACATTACACAAACAACTTGGGGCCCCAAAGAAAATGCTCACTGTCAGAATTCTATAATTGACGCGCCATGTGAGGAGCAGGCGACGAGCAGGGCAGCCATGGGGCGCAAATGTGTTATTTATTGTGTCATAGAAGGAATTTTCAAGGAACCGCAAAGAGAAACAAGCTGAGGCCCGAGTGTTGGGGTGCAGTGCAGTCGTTGTCAAGGAGATGGCCCTTTGTCACCTTGTACACAGTGCTCCGCACAGGTGTAGGGCCAGGGTGCAAGTGTGTGGCATTGCCAGTACCCATAAAGGGCCACTAGCTGGCCAGAAATGCAGCACAGAGTGCACGGGGGGGCATCCTGCGTAAGGCGGGTGCTAACTCTAGCGCTGCAGACTCAACCTGGACTAGTGTCACCACTTGCAGGGGTGCCACAGAAGCGAGGCAGAAGACGGGCTTGTTTGGGGGGAACGAATACAATGGATGTACTCCTTTGTAGAAAGGGGGTGCTATGTAGGATGAAGGATACCAACGAATACCAAGCAAGGCAAAGGTATGAGGAGACGGCGCAGCGTGTAGGTAACAATGAGATGCGAGCGGAGGCGCCGCGCAAGTGCGCGCCCTCCAAAACCGCAGCCAGCGCTCGCGGAAGCTGAAGGATGGCACCCTCTCTCTGCAACATCCTGCAACGGCCCGTTCACCACTCCACCATCTCGAACGCCGCCATCTCCACCTGGGCGCGCCACTGGTCGTGCCGTCCATAAAACCTGTCGCCCACCTCCTCCTCCCACGCAGGCTCCAGCGCCGCGCCCCACTCCGCCTCGGCCGCCTCCGGGGTCAGCGCCGCCGCATGGCCGCCGCGCTGACGCAGCATGGATTCGTGCAGCCGCAGCTTGATGCCCAGGACGGGGCGCAGGGCCATGCCCAGGGATGAGGGGCTGGATGCCATCATCGCGCTCTGCTGCACCCACGCGGGCGCGCCGCCGTCGACGGCGCTGCCGGCGCGCAGCACGGGGGCCCGGGCGGCAAAGACGCTGAAGGCGGCGCGGAGGGCGGCGAGACCGCGCGCCCGTGGGGGCGGGGGCGGCCGCATCAGGAGGCGCAACTGCGCTTTTGTGTCAAGCTCGCAGGCCGCGGGCGTCTGGCTGCGCTTGGCGAAGAGCTTGGTCGAGGGCCACATGCGTGTCACAAATCGCAAACAAAAGTTACGCTCGCGTGCCTCTTCTCGCATAAAAGCTCGGGGCACAATGATCGACACACCCTACGTCGTGAGTTGCGACCGCGGGGATGATCTTTTGATAAGACTGGTATAGTAATACACGGTGAGATCTTTGATTGAATGATATACATTGAATGTTGCCACCTGCCCTGCAGCCGGCAGGAAGCTCCCGCCTCTGCTGCCACCGTGCCGTCGCACGAAGCTTGCCGGCCGCATGCTTGATGTACACGTTGATTACTTCAAAACGTTGCACCGCGTCCAGCTGGCCGCCGACTGGCCATCTGCACCCAACGCCAGGACGTGACGTCACACAAGCGGCAGTTGGGGGCCAACCTTCTGTGCAGCCCCAAACAGGTAGCGCTTGGTGGCACTAGGGGATTGCTGCATGATGCAAGCACAACTTGTTTGTAGATAAACGACGCAAACGCGCTGCACCTCGCCAGCGCCGCTGGCTCAAGAGACGCAATACTGTGCCTGTCGTCCTGCCCCCCCCCTCCAAAAAAAGCGAATCCGCTGCGACTATCACAGCCGCCACCAAGCACTAGACGCCAAGCCCTTGTGAAAACGGTGCCCCTCTGTGGGCACTAATTGATCAATCTCAGGCTGAGTTTTAGACAGTTGAGCGCATCTTAAGCCTGTGCTGTTGCTTCGTGTGAGCAATCGTGTTGCATACTGCACACACAGCCCGCACCAGTTGTTTCGAACGCAATGATAGACCTGGACGCAATACCGAGCACACCTTCAGCCCCTGATGCCAATGCCCCACGTATCCTGCATGCTCACATTACACGCTACAATCTGCGACCATTTGCAATTCATTCCACGCACCCCGCCTGCTACTGACAGTTGAGAAAGACGCCCTGCCTGCCAACGCGTATGCAACACGACACAAACTGATAAGGAATGCCGCACTGTGCAAATACACGCAGTTGTCCAGCGCGGCAGGCGCTGTCCTGCTACCGCTTGCCCCCCTTTGCCGCTGCAGCTGCTGCCTTCTGCTCCATCTCCTGCGGGGCGAGGTGAAGTTGGGGGTTGTGCAACGTCGGCATGCCAAAGTGCCGACATTCCACATGTAGCTGACCAGAGGCGTCACTCGCAGGCGTTCAAGCCACGACAAGAGAGGTCCCGAATTCTGCTCAACAACGGACTCTGTGTGGGCGCAACTACACGCCGCGAACCAGCGCGACAAGACGCCATGCCCACCGAAAAGAGCTCCTGAAAGCGCTGCCCAGTGCGGGCGCTGAGGTTGAGGAACTTCTCGCAACACCGGCTGACGCACTGGGTACAGGGATATGGGTGGTGAACAGGAGGGTTTCAGCGCGACAGGGACGGCGGTGGATGGGGCACTGGCCCCGACAAGGGGCCAGCCCGTGCCTGCGTTGCCGGTGCACCGGCCCTGGCCCAGAACTCCCCTGCTTGACCCGGGGGTGAGACTACGGGCACCGCCGGACACAAGCGCTGTATGCATGCTGCATTGGCAAGCCCTGAGTAAGACGCCTCCCTCTGCTGCCAGTCGCTCGCTCTTGGTCGCGTCTTTACGATCCCCAACCCTGCTCTCCTGCCTCCACCCAAATCACACCAAGCACCTTCTCTTCGGCATCTGAGAGGTGCTTGCTGCGGAAGTCGTCGACGCAGTCGTTGAAGCACCGCTGCACGAGGTTGTTGTACAGCCGCATGCTGCGGGAGGGAAAGGGCGCGCCGTGTCGACTGGGGTGCCCAGGCTGTGGGTGGCCGGCCGAGCAGGCACAGCACATGCCGCAGGGGGCGCTTGGCCATACGCAGCGTCCAGGCTGAATTTTACGGCGAGTGGAACATGCCCGCAGCTGCGACGCCACTCGGCTGCGCCAGCTCGTGCAGAAGCCCTGGGCTCTTCAGGTGGCGCGAGCAGCTTGCGCTGCGCTGCAGCTGCCGGCGCCGGTTTGCGCATGGTGGCTGCCAGGGCACCGCACCTGTCGCGGATCTGCATGTGCTCCAACTGCGCCAAGAAAGCCGCTCTGTGCTCTTCTTTCATCCCCGCGACCGCCTCTGGAGAGAAATTCATCTTTGCTGGCGTCTGTATTCAAGTGCTGGCGCAACGGATTATATGGACGACTAGAATAACGATTATGCTTGGATTGGGACTTGAGACGCTGTCACCCAAGATCAAGATCGCGGTTACCAATCGTGCCCGCACGCGCCCACCTCGGTGCTTCCTTCAAGGTACCGTACCTTGGTCTACACGTCGGAGATTTATGGACATTTTAGAGCATGCCCCTGACATATTTGTATCGGTTGCACCATGTCAGATGACTTTGACAGCGAGGGCCCTCCAGAGGCCCTTCCCCTTGAGGAGGGTGCGTAAGGGGCTCAAAACAAGTAGTTGGATGTGTGCGCAGACGCCGGCAGCTGACCCTGCTGCTCTGCTCCGCAGACGAAGCAGAGGCGCTCCCGCTGCCAGTGCCGCTCCCGGCGGCCGCGAGCGCCTCGGCCGACAAGGCTGGCCCACGGCCGCCCGTCCCCGTGACCCTCATCACGGGGTTCTTGGGCGCGGGCAAGGTGCGCGGCCTCCTGGGGGTCGTGGGCAGCATGACATGCACCCCCATCCCCACAAGACGAGCATTGCCTGCCGTGCTGCCCAGTCCTGGCAAGAGACAATGTCCCCCTGCGCCCTCCCACCC